CTGCCAGTTGAAGTGATAGTTCTGACAACTTAGTTTCGTGTCATTCTTCTCCAGCTTATACCACAAAGTTTCCTAAACTCCTGCCAGTTGAAGTGATAGTTCTGACAACTTAGTTTCGTGTCATTCTTCTCCAGCTTATACCACAAAGTTTCCTAAACTCCTGCCAGTTGAAGTGATAGTTCTGACAACTTAGTTTCGTGTCATTCTTCTCCAGCTTATGCCACAATGTTTCCTAAACTCCTGCCAGTTGAAGTGATAGTTCTGACAACTTAGTTTCGTGTCATTCTTCTCCAGCTTATACCACAAAGTTTCCTAAACTCCTGCCAGTTGAAGTGATAGTTCTGACACCTTAGTTTCGTGCTTTCCTGAGATGAACAACAAGAAGAACGATTCGCGTATGATCACGTGAAATGCACAACAAGGTTGTTTAGTTTTATTTGAAACCTGCTCTAGTAGTAAAAATGATGGGTGAGTTTCTATATTAATAAACTTAAGCCTAGACAATAGCGAAGCTAGTGTCAGTCAAATTTAATTTCAGATGCTGGCTTGAAAGAACAATTTTATTAACTGAAAATGAGCACAGTTCTCTTTTTTTCCATCCAAATTCTACTCTTTCTTTATTACAGGCACGTTTAAATAATAAGTAAGTGAAGAAGCTTTCCAGCTCTTTTTTTAAACTACATTTACCAAAAAAAACCGCTTCTGTCTTTTAAGATTCATTTTTATAGTTGATAATTTCAAAATCTTTTACAAAAAACGAGTTTAACGTTCTCCTGGAACACAATGGTAGTTAAGAAACAAACCCGAGGCAGAAAAAGAAAGTGAAGTAAAAGGGTTGGAAACGTTTTTATGCTTATCTAAGGCTTGAAATGTTAACAATCTAAACAGAACGTAATTGGGATAATGTGGGTTCCAGACGACTGACGAGATTCGCCACTTCAGTGCGCTCTGGTCACGTTGCGTGGCTGCTCGCCAATTCTAAGAGTTTTATATTGACAAAATGTCTATGGTGAAGATATTTTATGTATGCTAATAGATTGCTAGAAGGCTCGATATGTTTGAAACTGGTGCATTCGTATCATACTCTACTGATCTTTGAAAAATGTCTTCTCATTATTTAAGGATGGACTCAAAGCATGTTTGGCAGAACGAGCAAATGTTGGCAGACAGAAAAGACGCATTTCAAAGTGTGTTTTATACTATAAAGCTCGGTTGTTTCATCCAAAATCGAACCGCAACTTACTAGGAATGAAGTTGATAAGCGCCCCCTGGGTAAGTTTATTGTCTGCAATATTCTAAAATATAAAGATTAAATCATGATGGGGCTACAGTTTTCTGTGATATTAAAAAATTAAACATTTTATTTTCGTGATTTCTAATTTCCTTAATGTACGACTTTCAGGCTAAAAATTACTTTATCCAAATTAAGGAAATAACAAACGTAGCAGGAAATGTTTCATTTATTTAAGACAGCGGCCTCTTTAATATTTCTATAACATATTGGTACAGCCGACGTCGTTGTTTCATCGGGGCTATTAACGTTGTTATTCTTTATTGTTTGCAACATATGGACTGCTATTGACTTGTTTATTGACTTCGTATTCCAGGTCACAGCTGGGGTCATATTCCTGCTGGGTTCATTCACATTTGCTGAAGAACAGGATCCTGAAGCTCTTGTAGCTTATGGTGACCTCGAATCAGCAGAAAGCAAGAAAGCTGACCTCCAAATAGCAGCAACTGGTTACGGTGGGCACGGAGGAGGAGGAGGAGGTGGTGGTGGTTACGGTGGACACGGAGGAGGTGGTGGTGGTTACGGTGGACACGGAGGAGGTGGTGGTGGTGGTTACGGTGGGCACGGAGGAGGAGGGGGTGGTGGTATAGGACCCGGTGGAAAGGGTGCCATTAGTTACGGGAAGTCCCACCAGGCTAATAATGGTTATGGTGACTATGGGGGTCATTACAAACATGGGGGGAAAGACTACAAGAGTAGTGATGATTACGGAGGAAAGCACAAATATGGAAAGGGGGGTCATTACTATGACAAATACGGCAAGGATAACCACGGGCACTACAAGAACGGGGGACTTGTAGGGAAAAAATACGGCTCGGACAAGTACGGGGGTAAAGGAAACAAGGGAGGGAAGATTGGTAGCGAATACGACAAAGATTATGGCCACAAGAAAAAAGGTTTCAAGAACATTTACCACAAAGAGGAATATGGCGACAAGAAGGCGTATTTCGACGAATACAAAGATAAGGACTATGGTAAGAAATACAAGGACTTTCATGATTACTATGATCACCATGCCGGTAAGAAACACAAGAAATATGACGACAAAAAGTACCATGACAACAAAAAGTACGGAGACGATTACCACAAATACGGAAAAGGGGGCTACGACAACTATTATGGAAATGATAATAAAAATGGTGGCAAATATTATAAGGGTGGTTATGGGCAGAAACAAGGTGGAGGAGGTTATCAGAAAGGAAGTTACAGTGGCCATAAAATTGGTGGTCGTGGTGGCGGAGGAGGTGGTGGTCATGGGGGAGGAGGCGGTCACGGAGGTCATGGAGGAGGCGGTGGTCACGGAGGTTATGGAGGAGGAGGCGGTCACAGAGGATATGGAGGAGGCGGTGGTCACAGAGGTTATGGAGGGGGTGGTCACTGAATGTATGGAGGAGGCGGTAACGGAGGCTCTGAAGGACGCGGATACGGAGGAGGTCATAGAAGTGATTATTATACAGGAAACTTGTAGACCATCTCCGAATAAGGGGGTGTAAGGTAGAGAACACTCTGTACCAAGATCAATTATTATGGGCTTTATGATAGTTTTGGTTCTAAAAGCTGTTGGGTATTTAACTGAATTCTTTCACAGTCCTGAAGATGAAGAAGAATGGTACTTTAAACTTTGACCTTTAATCTTTCAATTTTTGTATTATTTGCTTTACAAAATATGTCATCATTTCCAGTTTCTTTTTATTTAAAATATAAGCTCATTGTCAGCTTTACCCTTTCTCTTTTAAACTGAATGCTCGTGTCCATCTTTCTATTTTACATTTAGAGTATATATTAATTTTTAGCTTTGGTCATTTTTCTACATAAAGTACTTGCTAATTTCTAACTGATGTTTTTTTGTATTTAAAATATATGCTCTTCTCCAACCT